CATACAAGAGACCAAACAGCGTCTTTTATATTCAAAAATATATGCTCGTAAACGATTGGGGTCTGTATAATCATTTCAGAATTGTATTTAATTAACATATCAATTTATCAGTTACTGTGGTTATGTCTGTATTTATTATAAAATAATTAAGACTGTTTTTTATTATCCTGCAATAAATTTAATATTAACCAGGTACGAGTATGATTCATGTAAGATTATATGCAAACACTTCAAAGATTCACCTGACCGTTATAATAATATATTGGGTTGAAATTTTTTGCCTGAAAGATAGGGAATCATATTCATCTGTTTGCTTAAAAATTGTACACAGATGTTACTGACGTTCTGAGATCCACGGATTTTTTTCAACGTATTGTGACCAAAAATATGATCAATGTACTTTGGAATAGATTTGGTAACATCATTATGCGGGGGGGCATTACATATATGTTCTAAAGTTTGTGTGTTATTTGAACTAAGCAGTATTGTGAGAAGAGTCAAGATCATGCGGAATCTGAATGCTGGAAGGATCAGCATTTTCTGAATAGGCAGTACGTTTTTTGAGTGTACACATGAAATGAATATGAAATTATATCAAAGGCGCTCGTAAACTATTCTTTTATTATCTACACAGTGGGTCTAAAACATAGTGCAATAATTGAAAGAGTGATTCTTTAGACATCTTTAAAACAATCTTGTCCATTAATTTCCGAAATTCTGCTTCAGTTCAGATACGGGACAGACAATATCAGCTGAAAATAACTGATCAAGAAAACAGGACCTCAGTCTACTCATTATATGCTGCTGGACACTTGAATTACCCCAGGACCATATATACCCAATACTGAGCTCTGTGCTAGTGAAATAGAATTTTATGATAAACGTACTTGATGAATCGCTCAAATTTGATCTGGTCATGACCACTGAGGAAGATATACGTTCGCATTTACTTAAAATAAAATCTAATGCCTGTGGGCATGATGGTATTACGCCTAATATGATAAAACTGTGTCTTCCTGTGATTGGCAAATATTTAACGCAATTGATTAATTCTTGTTCGGAACTTAACTATTTTCCCTCTGCATGGAAGCAAGCAGTAATTGTACCCTTTGTAAAAACTAATAACCCTTCAGCTTATTCTGACCTGCGCCCAATAAGTTTACTTCCGATTCTATCAAAAATATTGGAAGGATAGTACATGATCAATTGAAAGAGTACTGCTCTGAGAATAACATAATTCCAAAAAACCAGTCTGACTTCAAAGTAGGGAATAGCACCACCATTGCCCTGCTTAAGGTGACTGATGATATTGTTGAGGCTTTGGATCGGGGTCAAGCAGCGGCTCTTGTACTGCTTGACTGCTCCAAGGCTTTTGACACTATCAATCATTCACTTTTGATCTCAAAATGCAAATATATTTGATTTTCCCAAGCATCTATCAAGTTCATTACTAGTTATCTCATGAATCGTATGCAAAGGGTACATTTGGACAACTCATATTCGACATATAAGAATGTGATATCAGGGGTCCCTCAAGGCTCTGTTTTAGGACCGATATTGTTCTCCATTTACTTATCAGACATGTGTAAACTGATACGCTCCTCTGAAGTGATGATTTTTGCGGATGATACACAAATATGTAAAACTTTTTCATAGAATTTTTCACGAATATAGGAGGAAACTTAGCAAATAATGTCAAACAAAATGCTGATATTCATCTGCATGAAACAAGACTGAATAATTCATTTGTATTAACTGAAAAAAAAATTAAAAAAATTTATTAACACGATTGGGAGAAATCAAATTAATAAAATAATCTCAAATATTACACAATAAATGCTCTACCATTCTTACCAATAATTTCTTTTTTCTCTCTATTTTATTATATTTTGCAATTCAACATACATATGATCCATGCACAGGCGTTGTCCTCCTATGGATATATTATATTTATTTACTCGTTTCATGTTCCCTGTATTTTAGAGTAAATAAATATTATTATTATTATTATTATTTTGATCCAGATGACTGTGTAGCAGCTGTTGACGAGTTGAATTGTGACTTAGCCACTATTGTTAGTTTTTCCAAGCATAGCTCCTTAACGATAAATGCCTCTAAATCTAAAGCTGTTCTCTTTGCACCAAAAAACAAAATCATTAATAACATGACACTACGCATTAATGACACTTCTTTAGTTTATGAGGATCTTGCAAAAAATTTTGTGTCTTACTTGACAAGGATTTACGTTTTCGTGAGCATATATCTAAATTAGTAAGAAACTGCTTTGTTGTACTAAAAACATTGTTTGTTAACAGGCATTTCATCAATTTCAAATTGAAAAAACATCTTTGTGAAAGCCTAGTTTTCTCAAAAATCAACTACTGCCTTATAGTTTTCTATCCTTACTTAGATCAAGTCTCAATTCGCAGACTTCAACTGATTCAAAATTCGTGCTGTCGCCTCATCTACGGTTTGAGAAAATATGACCATGTTTCACACTGTATTCGTAGTTTAAAATGGTTAGATATTAATAGATCTTACGAGTATTTTATCTTGAAGTTCATTCATAATTTGATTATCACGGGAACTCCCGAATGCCTCTTCAAAAAAATTGTTTTCAGGCAATCTATTAGAGATCGCATGCTCAGGTATGGCAAATTATTAGATATTCCACGGCACCGTACGGCTTTATTTACTCGCTCTTTTAGGTATAATTGTGTCAAACTGCATAACGTGCTACCTGACGCATTCAAAAATTTATCTCAAACTAAATTTAAAGTTTGTGTCAAGCAGCATTTGCTATCAAAAATGACTCGTAGTAGTAATTAAGTAGTAGTTTGTAGTTTAGATTAGTAACCGCCAGAAAAATTTGACGTGTTGCTGAATCTGTTTATATTTTCTATATTATGTCTTGCAATATTTTTTTTTCCTTTGGTTAGCCACTGTAAATATACATGTTAATTACATGTATTTACATTGGTTCACAACTATGAAAATAATAGGGTTAAGTGGAAGAGTAGCTATTTAGCTAAACTTCGCCCTATACTATGAAACTTTATAAATAAAGACGATTTATTATTATTATTATTATTTTTATTACATCCAGAAATCCCTGTATGATTGTTCATGAGTTCTTCATAGAAATATGTACAGTCAGTTCATCTAATAGATTGAGATCAAGTATTGTAGCAAGGCCGCATAATTCCTTAATAATTCCTTGACGGCATTTGACAGAACATTGTAATTATTGTAGATTTTATGTGGTTTTGGGAATTAATTATGTGTTGAATTACCAAAATATATTGTTTTATCCCGAGCCCGTTACATAGATTCTGGCAGTTAGATACGCAAAGCTACAGATTCAGTGTACAACGTTGATGAGTCAAAATTCACATTGTCGTTATATAAAGATAGCAACCGGCCACAACCAACAGTTCTTGTGAGCAACATTTGTGAATCAAGAAACCTCACACGTGATGTTTGTTAAGGGAAGCAGTTTTATTAAAATTTTGTTCGAAATGCGATTGATAGAATATAGTCAAAGAACAAGATAGACTAGAATTGTCTCTGGGATGACTGTTTAGATATTTGCCCTATGTTACGCCTATGCGAACTGCCGAAAGGTTAAATAGGCATTTTTGATACTATTTATACATGATTATGCAAATACACCTTCATAAAATTCCCCATAAAACGATGAAAACTACCGCAATTCTATACATACCTGCAATAACGTGCATTTTCTATCTAGCAATTAGATGAACAGGCGAAGAGTAAACAGGATGATTGTTTATATAGTAGTTCCATATGTCCTTCCATCTGTATTGAATATTAGTATTGATGAACCATGACCCTCGTATAAATTATATTAGTTTTTAGGTGTGTTGTTGCTCTACAAGGTGTGTACAAATATCAGTATGCTCCAATAAAGGAAACTGAAAATTGAGCGGATTCTTTTGGGAAGCTTTCGCTTCAGTCACAACTAATGACACAGGTCACATGCCTACAATATTAACACCGACACCTGCGATAATAACAATCTGACGGCACGATGCTTGATGTGAAAATCCTTAAAATGCCAGATATTTAAAAGGTTCGCTGGGTGAAATGATTACGTTTCTGGGTTTAAAAGCCTTGGACATGTTCAGCAAAATGACGATCATCAGTCTGGTCGATAGGATATGAGCGCAGGTTGGGATACGGAAGTGGGATTTGCGTTAACAAAATTAACCCCTCATTTTTGAGCGCAGTAGACTAGAGTGATCACTAGAAAATGACCCTGGATTCCTACAACGGTTGACACATGTTAAGAAGTTTGTAAACGTATCCATTTTCAGCAAAAGAGCATGTTTATAGATTTCTCATGTCATTAAATGTTCACCCTGATGACATTCGCAGAGCGACGAATCTGGCTCATGGAGTGAGAAATGCTCTTCATGAATTCCGTAATAAGAAATGGAGCGCGACTTCCTCGCAGAGATGGTTGACTCAAGTATTCCTTTCTGGAAAGTTTTGAAGTCGCTCAGAAACGGAAAGGAAGAACAATTCCTGCATATCTACGGTGTTGAGGGTATAGCCTTTAATACAGATGTAAAAGTCGAGGTTTTCGATGATTCCATGAAAAGAGACTTCTCTCCCAACTGTGATCCCGACAATGATGGGGAGATGTCCGGAGATATCTTATGGTAGTAGAGTCTCCCTTAGTGATTTTTCTTCAGAGGAGTCCTCTTGCATGGCACATCTCCCGAGATCCCGCGTTGCACACCAGCAGAGCTTCAAGGTCATATTAAAGACATCAGGAGGTGAGTTGACTATTCCCCCCGGATTGCCATTTCAAAGGTAAATCTACGTCACCTTCAAGATTTCTCGTCAGACCACAATGTGATTCTTGACGTGCAATTTGACATTTAAGAAGGTGTGGGACAAGGGGCTCTTCTATAAATTGATCCAAAAGGGCAGTAGATGTGGCCGCAGTAGTAGACTCTTCGGTCTCCTGATCAGTCGCAGGGCGCTGTGCGGGTTCGAATCCCGTCCCTGTAGAAATTTTTGTCTTGGCTATGGATGTTGTGATTGTCCGTAGTTGGTAGACGGTCTTTGACTGTCGAACGCGGAGGTACCACCCGGCGGATCTCGTAGGCGGAGCCAGAATGTAAGCGTGTTGCATGCACACGTGTTCCCTCGCCAGAGTCCGTGTGGCGTTCCTCCTTTCCCCTGTAGCCCCACGGTACCCCATGGATGTTTAGGCCTTAGGCCTTCGTGGTAGTTGGAGTATAAAAAAAAAGATGGAACAGTATTCCCATTCCCTTAGATTACTCTTTCCTTGAATCGTGAATTCCTTTGGCAATTTATCTGTTGTACCGACTGCATCCTTTGTTTTGTCATAGAGTAAAATGATGTGCGTTACATTGGCTCACGTTACATACCGAGTGGGGTGCAGCTGAACCCCGAGGTACACAACTAACTATAACTTGTGACAATAATTAGCAATTTCTTTTAACTTTTTTATACTAAATTATAAATATGAGGTACCTGTACCAAATAAGGCCAAGCTCCTTATAAGGCCATGCGTCGATTTTACAGACACTAGTTACATCTAGAATTAAAAATTTCTACAGTTCTATACATTCATTGATATGAGTTAGCACCAATTAATGTAGCAGGTGTGGAGCGGCGCTAGATGGCGCAGTTGGCCATTGTCGATTTTCAACACGTGCCTTACAAAATTACTACTTTAAATTTGTCTTCGATTTTTCATGCTGTCTGCTTCTTTTTGCGAAATTTGTTGTCAGTTCAATCAGGTAAGTCTATAGAACATATACAGCTAGTTATTTGTCGTCGGCAGGTTTTAAATATTTTGTATTTTATAAATTGTATGTTTAAGGTTATATGTGCCTTATAAGGCCATGATAAACGGTTCCCATTACGGCCACTTGGCCTTATTAGGAACACGCTGGCCGTTACGGCAGATGTCTTAAATTAAGATGTTTTTTTTTCAGAGACTATAGTCGAAATATGCCCTCTAAGAAAAGGGCGCTGTGGTCAACCGAAGCGCTTGTACAAGCACTGGATAGTATAAACAGTGGAACGTCGGTAAATCGTGCATCCAAAGAATACCAAATTCCACGAATAACACTTCGCAATCATGTTCATACAGGTGTGCGAGAAAGAAAACTTGGTACTCATACAATTTTGTCTAGAGAGCAGGAAGATGAACTATGCTCAAGGATAATCCGATTATCGGAGACAGGAATGCCCCTTACACCAGATTTTTCGAAAATCCGTCTTTTCCTATGTTAATGACAAAAAAATTCGTCACACATTTAATGAAAATAGTGGAATGGCAGGTAGAAGATGGTTGAAGTTGTTTTTGGACAGACATGAAAATATTCGCCAAAGGAAAGCACAGGTTTTAAATCCAGCGAGGGCACAGAAAGTAAATAAGTACATTGTAAACGACTACTTCAAAAAACTAGAAAGTTTGCTGATTAGACTAAACCTAATCAATCAGCCCCATCGTATCTACAATGTAGATGAGAAGGGGTGCAGACTCACCATCCACCGCCAACCAAATGTGTTGGCGAGGAAAGGTGAAAGACGTGTTCACTATTTAGCTAATGAGCACGCAGAAAATTCCACAATAGTTGCATGTGGAAATGCTATTGGACAGGCAATACCACCAATGGTCCTGTTCAAGAGAAAACGTAAAAAGGATGAATGGGGTGACAATATGCCAACCGGAACAGTAATTGAAATGACCCAAAAAGAAAGTATGACTTCAGAAGTGTTTGTTAAATGGCTAGACCATCTAGCAAACTATAAGCCACCAGGAGATATTCTTCTCATTTTTGATGGTGCCTCTTCTCATTTGGATGCAACTATTGTTGACGCCGCCGAAAAACATCACATCACTTTATTGTGTCTTCCGAGTAACACGTCACACGTGCTGCAACCGCTGGATAAATGTGTTTTCCGCAGTATCGAATATCATTGGGAAAATGAAATACTTAACCATTACAAGCGGTATCCTGGCAGGAAGTTGAATCGTGCAAGATTTGGAGAAATTTTGAGGAAAGTGTATCCAAGGGCCATGTCTTCTGAAAATCTTCAGTCAGGATTTCGCGCAACAGGAATATACCCACACGACCCAGCTGCGATCTCGGAGACTACATTTACACCTAGTTTAATGTCAGAGAGGCCCGATTCAAATACGGCAGCTACAGATGTTCAGGAGGAGAATGAGGAACACCATGATGTCAGCTTTACAGAATCTGATGACATACCCCTTGCACTACTGATGGCCAACGGAACTTCAATGTTACAGATAACAGCTACATCTAATTAAAAAGAAATAAACTCGACTCAAAAGTTTGCAGTTCTTGAAACAACAAATCTTGTGACTGGTCAAATAGACAGTGATCAATTGGATCTAAGTTTCAGGGAAGTACTTCCCACGCCCGAATGGAAGGCCAACGCCACAAAAAGACGAAAAGCCACCAATTCTACTGCGCAAATCGTCGTAAGAGATTTGTTTAAAGACCCAAATCCAGGTCCATCCGGCCTAGATAAAACAATAAAAAAATCTAGTGAGTCTGGAACTGTTAAAAGCCAAACGTCCCGAAAGAATAAAGACGAAAACTGGTACTGTTTCATATGCGATAAGGATGAAGTACGTGACATGCGTCTGTGTGTAGTATGCTTAAGATATGTCCATGAGGAATGTGTAGGCTTGTGTAGAGTTGATAAAGTATAATTTGTTTGTCATCATTGCGAAGGCAAAATCTAAGATTCTGTATGATTTTCTTTAAACAAGTTGACTTTTTTTATTTAAATCTGTCTAGATTTATGTGTTCTTTTAATTTTGTTTAATTAGAAATATAGCTTCGTTTATTATACAGTCTTGATTTACATTTTGATTGTGGTTTTATTGAAAACCAGCTGGTGGCCTTATTTGGATACATGGGTTCCTAATAAGGCCAACGGTAGTGTTTCGAAAAATATATTTCTTTTATATGAAAAGAAAAGGTCTCTGAGTTCTCCGATGTAGCTTGTGTAATAAACATATCTACAATAATACCTTTAAAATTTCAAGGTCGTTTCGCAAATATTTAAGCAGTTACACCTATCCAAACGTTAATGTGGCCTTATTTGGTACAGGTATCTTATTTGAGAAACATATCTTGAAGGAAATTAAATTGAAAAAGATATTTTGTAAAATACCCGCAAAAATTGATTTCTGGGGTGCAACCGCACCCCGCTCGGATTTATGAAGGTTAAGGAACAATCTTTAAGTCAATTTTAGGATCAGCTTAAACATCTTGAATACTTGTTAACAATGCCAAGGCACCCTGAAATTGACACACTTCTTTCTCTTTGCGCTCCAGCCTTCCTTCATTTCTTCTTTCTGCCTTCGTGTGATATCTGTGCAACCAGTACTGACAAACCTACTAACTTGCAATACTTTAACCAAGAGCAAAGTTGACAATGACGAGTAGAGACAGTCATGAACGTTTCATCACAAAGCCTACTACGTGTTTATAAATGAGACGTATGGATGTCAGCGAAAGTTTTCGTTCAAATAGGGTCAAGCTGTGAAGCAGTCGAAACGACTAAACTCCTTCCTTAGGTGAGTTTTTTCCACAAATGCTAGCCTATTGTTATTTAAATAATTAATTATTAATATAGCGGCCCAGATAGCGACTTTTTTAACAGGATACGGGAATACAGTTTCCCTAAAGATAAGAGAACCACGCCCTCTTTGTCTGTCATTTTATTCCCTCGTTTCATGCATGAACCCCCACCTGACAATCAAATGCCCGCAAAGTGACAATGTAACGTAGTAAGGTTCCCGAAAAAAGCTTTCTTTGCAGTAGAACCTACATGAAGGAATCACACCTGACGGAGTCCATTGGAATGACATCAGTATTCCACTTCCTCATCGAAGCACTTATTTGTATAACAACATGTATGATATGGTGTAGGCTTCAAAAAATGGTAAAGGATCTGAAAGAACATAAGCATGGCACGCTATATAAAACTGAAGTATATCACACTAATGCATGTTATTTGTAACAGACGCAATGTTTTCTATTTTACATACCATGGGCGCAGTAAACCAGGCACAAAGCATGATAAAGGTACATCTTGCGGTAAATGGCCTAAACAAGACAACCATATGTACGAAAATTGTACAATCTGGAAAGACCAGAATGGAAGAGGTTTTCGTAATGGACTTGACATTTTGTCAAAATTCCTTTCCTATATTTCACACTTTCAGTTTTGTTTACTTTGAGTGACTAGTATGGTTAAGTTCTGCACTCCAACGATGTTTAAAAAATTATTTTGAAGAACTAAAAATGTGTAAGCCCTAAAGTGATCAGAAACTTGACCGACGAGACGTGCGGCAGTCCTTGAAGTTTTTGTAATATTTGATCCCCGTACTGGGTTCCTACAAATCAGATATTACCAGGGATATTGAGGCCGGTCATAGTTCGGAACATTCGTTTCCTAATAATTGAATAAATTAGATTTTTCTCAAACACAAATATAAGCAAAATATAAATCGGAAGCGTAGGATTTCCGGAGCTAAAATGTTTCTACTGAGGAGAACTACAATCTCAAAAAAGTATTATCAATTACTTAGATGTTTTGTTTTTTGAATGTTATATGGCATATACATTAGGAAAAACCATGTCCTTTCTGTCGGTCTGTCGGTCTATCTTTGGCTCGTGTCACAAGTTCGCTATGCCAAGGACTAAAAGAAAAAATCTCAACTTTATGTATATAATGTATATATATTTATGTTTAATGTATCAATGCGTTACCATCCTCAGTAGTTCTACGTACCGATTTGACAGATAGTACATACTTCACACGTCACTCATTTCCCCGTACTTTTTCGTTTAAAACCTAAAATGCTTGAAGAAACAAAACTTGTGCTGAGCATAATCCTTTATGAACTGATGACGGCGCTGCGTGGAAAGTGCAGAGTCAACCCACTTGACGCCGTTTGTCCTACTTACTGTTATACTAAACTCTTGCCAAAATTACTACGAATGGCATTATTCCCATATAATTTTGAATGTGTAACTTTACTAACAGAATATTCTCAAAGTAGATCAGGTTTAAGTTTCTATACTTATACTAAGTGACATATAAATCCGCACACCCAGTTTAAATGGTTTTATTTTAATAAAATTTTGTATAAGTACTTAGTGAAGCATAATAAGTAAATGATAAAAATTTCAAAATGATTGCACTGCTTTAAAGCCCTTTGAGCTTTAATAATGCGTGGATGCACCCTGATGAGCTACGCATTCTCCAACGCGCCTAGGCATGCTTCTGATCTGGTGGTCAATGTCCTCCTGTGGTATCTCATTCCAGGCAACCACCAACTCCTCTCGAAGTGCTTCTAGAGTCTGAGGAGGACGTTGCAAATTGAGCAATCTCCTACCCATCATATCCCACACGTGCTCAATTGGGGATAAGTCGGGAGATCTTGGTGGCCATGGTAACAATGTGACATCATTATGTTGAAAGAAGTCTGTTGTGACTCTTGCAACATGTGGTCGGGCATTATCTTGTTGGAAAGTTGGATCTGCCAGGGTGTCAAGATAGGGTAAAAGATGGGGTTCTAGAACTTCGTGGATATAACGCTGCGCGTTCATGTTACCTCTGATGAAGATTAAAGGTGACCTGGAACCATAAGCTATAGCACCCCAAACCATAACTCCAACAGTGTGATGAACATGTCTTTCAACAAAAAACTGTGGATTCCTCCTTTCACCACGTCGCCTTCTAACCCTGGCACGACCATCGTGCATGCCTAAGCAAAATCGAGACTCGTCACTAAAGACATTACTGTTCCATTCCTGATCCCAGAGTGACCGTTGTCTGCACCACTCAAGGCGATTACGTCGGTGTTCTCGAGTTAAAGGGAGGACCCAGTGTGGCCGGTATGAAAACAAGCCAAAACTTCTCATTCGTCGGTAAACACTTCGCATGCCAATAGGTCTTCCGTGTTCTGCAAACTATTCATTTGCAATGGACCTGGTAGTGGAGAAACGGTCCCTTAAGGCCAATAATCTTAGGCGGCGATCTTCACGGTCTGTTGTTCTACGGCGGCGTCCAGTGCCCCTTGCTCTTTGCGTACAACCTTCTCGAAGCCATGCCTGACAACACCTAACCACAGTGTCTTCACTTCTTTGCACTCTAACTGCAATTGCCCGAAAAGAAAGTCCAGCATCCCGAAATCCCACTATACGGCCCCTATCAAACTCACTAAGTTGAAGAAATCGTACAGGTCTCCGTACTTTAGGCATTGTAACCGATCGTAAAGGATGTCAGGAACCAAAATCCGCCAACGTTGATTCTTTACTGCGGCTGAAATATTCATTTTTAGAGCGTTAGTGAATTAAAAAAAAGCAGTATAAAAACCGGAATGTCCAACTTTTATTAAAATAAAACCATTTAAACTGGGAGTTCGGATTTATATGTCACTTAGTATATTTAGCTTCAAATATTCGAACCCGATTTTCCGTAAATGGAACCATTTGACAAAAATTCCTCAACAGACACAATTCATGTTAAATTAAATACATTTGAGTCCCTCATGTCTTTACCTGAGCCAGCTATGCTGTTGTTGCTATTTATATAAAGTTTCACATCGGTAACTTTATCCACTATGGAGAAACACTTTTTGCGATTGAAATTTCAACATCCTCTAATTCGGTAAGGGGTCATTACAGCACCAGTATTCGTAAATGTTGACACTTAATTTATTGGGGCTTTCATTTACGTAAAACGTAAAAGAGAAATTGTAGAACAATACTCACTATTTATTTGGTACGGCATTCCAAGTACTGCCCTGTCTCATGTTTTGTTTGTAACTACTGCTTGAAGATGTAGCTGTTCGATTCAGAAACATGAGTTTGCTTACTTCTTCCTAAATTTGTAACATTTAGGGCTGTCTAGGTCTTCTGCTGTATTCACCTAGACGGCTTTAGCATGATATAAATAAACTTACGCGTCTGTGATGAAAATATCGAGGACGCCGGCGACGTTCGGAATACTTGAGTGCATTCGCGTAGTATCAATAGGATCTTGACGATGCTCACAGAAAACTTACACCAAATCGATAACTAGCTTATTGCTGTCGGAATATCCCAATTTCGGTTTTCACATAATGTTTATGAACAAACCGCGAGGGCCTAATTCAGAAACTCATACCATAGAACATCATACCCTTTAGTGTAGGAGGGAAGGGGAGCAGGGCTGGAATAGCTAGTCTCTAGAAAACTCAATATCTCGATTAACTTAAGGCTTTGGTATGCAAGGAAATCCATATACCACTGACGTCGTATTGTGAACGAAACAGAAGCTCACAGTGATGGTCGTTTACGCGTACACGTTAGTTGTCTACGTCTCGATGTATACAATGAGTATAGTCGTAAAACGACTACAATGTATACGTTGCGTATACAATGAACACAATGTATACTTTGCGTATACAATGAATACAATGTATACAGTGATGAAGACAATGTACAGAATAGCATAAGTGAGGTTAGGTTTATTCGCAAACGTCAGAAAATTGGTAAGCAGTGAACCGACAGCTTAAAAAAATATGGTGGGACGCTCCAAGGACAAAGAAATCGATGAACTAGGGTTCATTTGTTGTTCTTAATTTATTTAAAACTGTATAATAGATATTATACATTTTTTAATTATCTATAAACTGTTTCCACATTCAAACCAATAATGCAATGTTGCAGAATTTGTATCTATCCTGAACTTTAAGTTCCACCCAAAATCGGAGTACCATTAGGATCGATCTGA